GGTAAGCGCAGAAGGACTTCCTCTAGGAGGTCCGGGACTCGTTGCCTTCACGTTTATAGATTGTTTTAATATTTCAATCTTAAGAAATTGTAAATAAAAATATGAAATTGCATTTTTATTTGAAAATCAATTTTATAATTACTTCTCTTTAAATTCGCCTTCTAAAATGTAACTTCCTTTTTATTTAAATAATGTCTTTAAATCTATACCAGATTGGTTAAGAAATTCTCCTTACAAAATTAAAGCTTATGATGATTAAAATAGTAGCTATTGGGATATCAAAAGAATTGTAATATTGTAAGTAGCTAAATAATAATATAAAATAAAAACCAATATTTGGAAAAACTGAATTTTGGAGGGTTGGAAGTTGAAGTGATGGGAAATTACAAATTTTTGAAGGCAAAAGTGAGTTGCTTGTGGTAACATCCCACAAGCAGATAGATTAATCTCCGCTACCAGATGCTAAAGTAGTACCATCAGGAGAGAAATTAACTGAATAAACTGTTGATTAATGACCATCGAGTTGGGCTTTTTATTATCCTGTTATAACATCCCATAAACGGATCGATTTATCATAACTACCAGATGCTAATGTTGTGCCATCAGGAGAGAAATTGACTTAAGTAACAAATGATGAATGACCATCTAATTTGACTATTTATTATCCAGTCTTTACATCCCATAAACGAATAGAGTTATCATGACCACCAGATGCTAATGTATTACCATCAGGCGAGAAATTGACTGAAGTAACATAACCTGAATGATCATTTAATTTTGCAATTTATTATCCTACCTTAACATCCCATAAACGGATGGAGCAATCTCCACTACCAGATGCTAATATAGTACCATTAGGAGAGAAATTGACTGAATAAACTGTTGAAGAATGACCTTCTAATTTGGTTATTAATTATCCTGTAATAACATCCCATAAACAAATTGAGCAATCCCAACCGCCAGATGCTAAAATAGTACTATTAGGAGAGAAATTGACTGATTGAATTCCATTTGAATGACCTTCTAATATGGCTTTTAATTATCCTGTCTTAAAATCCCATAAGTGAATAGATTAATCTCCACTACCAGATGCTAATGTAGTACCATCAGGAGAGAAATTGACTGAATAAGCTGTTGATGAACGACCATCCAATTTCAGTTTTAATTATCCTGTCTTAACATCCCAAAAATGGATGGAGTTATTAATACTACCAGATGCTAATGTAGTACCATCAGGAGAGAAATTGACTGAATAAACTGTTGATAAATGACCATCGAATTTGGCTTTTAATTATCCTCTCTTAACATCCCATAAACGGATAGAGTTATCATAACTACCAGATGCTAATATAGTACCATCAGGAGAGAAACTGACTGAATTGACACAATTTGAATGACCATTTAATTTGGCTATTTATAATCCAGTTTTAACATCCCATAAATAAATAGAGTTATCATCACTACCAGATGCTAATGTAGAACCATAAGGTGAGAAATTGACTGATATAACTGAGCTAGAATGACCTTTTAATTGCGCTTTTTATTATCCTGTCTTTACATTCCATAAACGGATGGACTAATCCAAACTACTAGATGCTAATGTAGTACCATCAGGAGAGAATATGACTGAATAAACAGTTCCTGAATGACCATCTAATTTTGCGTTTTATTATCCTGTCTTAACATCCCATAAACGAATTGAGTTATCAAAACTACCAGATGCTAATAAAATTCCATTAGGTGAGAAATTGACTGAAAAAACAGCTGAGGAATGGCCAGCTAATTTGACTTATAATTATCCTGTCTTAAGATCCCACAAACAGATAAAGCTATCTCTACTACCTGATGCTAATGTAGTACCATCAGGAGAGAAATTGACTGAATTAACACCCATTGAATGACCATCTAATTTGGCTTTTTATTATCCTGTCTTAACCTCCCATAAACGAACAGAATCATCTGAACTACCAGATGCTAATGTTGTACCATCAAAAGAAAAATTGACTGAATTAACACAATTTTAATGACCTTCTAATTTGGCTGTTTATTTTCCTGTTTTAACATCCCATAAACGGATAGAGTAATCCCAGCTACCAGATGCTAATGTAGTACCATCAGGAGAGAAATTGACTGAAGTAACTGTGCTTGAATGTCCATCTAATTAGGCTTTCTGGTCTCCTTTCTTAACATCCCATAAACGGAATGAGTTATCAACACTACCAGATGCTAATGTGGTACCATCAGGAGAGAAACTGACTGAATAAACTGAATTTGAATGACCATCTAATTTGGCTGTTTATTATCCTGTTTTAACATCCCATAAACGGATAGAGTAATCCCAGCTACCAGATGCTAATGTAGTACCATCAGGAGAGAAATTGACTGAAGTAACTGTGCTTGAGTGTCCATCTAATTTGGCTGTTTATTATCCTGTTTTAACATCCCATAAACGGATAGAGTAATCCCTACTACCAGAGGCTAATGTGGTACCATCAGGAGAGAAATTTACTGAATAAACACAGTTTAAATGACCATTTAGTTTGGCTTTTTATTATCCTGTCTTAACATCCCATAAACGAACTGAGTCATCTGAACTACCAGATGCAATTGTAGTACCATCAGGAGAAAAATTTACTGAATTAATACAATTTGAATGACCATCTAATTTGCCTATTTATTAACCTGTCATAACATCCCATAAACGGATAGAGTTATCATCACTGCCTGATGCTAATGTCGTACCATCAGGAGAGAAACAAATTGAATTAACACAACAAGAATGACCATCAAGTTTTGCTTTTTATTCTCCTGTCTTAGCATCCCATAGAAGGATGGAGCTATCAAAACTACCAGAAGCTAATGTAGTCCCATCAGAGGAGAAATTTACTGAATATACTCTACTTTCATGTCCATTTAATTTAGCTTTTTATTATCCTGTATTAACATCCCATAAGCGGATCGTTTTATCATAACTACCAGATGCTAATGTAGTACCATCAGAAGAAAAATTGACTGACATAACATAACCGGAATGACCTTCTAATTTGGCTTTATATTATCCTGTCTTTACATCCCATAAACGGATAAAGTTATCCTAGCTACCCGACGCTAGTGTAGTTCCATCAGAAGAGAAATTGACTGACATAACATAACCAGAATGACCATCTAATTTTGCTTGATATTATTTTGTTTTAACATCCCACAAACGGATAAAGTTATCCCTACTACCTGATGCTAATATAGTACCATCAGGAGAAAAATTGACTGAATTTACACCCATTGAATGACCATCCAATTTGCCTATTTATTAACCTGTAATAACATCCCATAAACGGATAGAGTTATCATCACTACCTGATGCTAATGTCGTACCATCAGGAGAGAAACAAATTGAATTAACACAACGAGAATGACCATCTAATTTTGCTATTTATTATTCTGTCTTAACATCCCATAAAAGTATTGAATCCTAACTACCAGATGCTAATGTAGTACCATTAGAAGAAAAATTAACTGAATTAATCGTATCGTAATGACAATCTAATTTGGCTTTTTATTATCCTGTATTAACATCCCATAAACGGATCGATTTATCATAACTACCAGATGCTAATGTAGTACCATCAGGAGAGAAATTAACTGACATAACACAACCAGAATGACCATCTAATTTGGCTTTTTATATTCCTGTCTTAATATCCCATAAACGGATAGACTTATCATCACTACCAGATGCTAAAGTAGTACCATCAGGAGAGAAATTTACTGAATTAATATAACTAGAATGACCATCTAATTAAGCTTTTTATATTCCTGTCTTAACATCCCATAAACGGATGGAGTTATCTGAACTACTGGATGCTAATGTAGTACCATCAGGAGAGAAATTGACTGATAAAACATAACCAGAATGACCATCTAATTTATTTAATTCATGTATTTTGATGTTTTTCCATTTACAATTTAATAATTAAGCTTAATTCAAGTTTATTCCACTTATATCTACATTTTCAAATTCTGATCCAGTGAAATTACATCTTACAAAATTTCCACCAATTAATGAAGTATCTTTAATCCTTATATTCTCAAAGCTTTATGATCTCAAATCCACTTTCATTTCGACTAATAAATTGATTGCATTCGATCCACATTAAATAAATTTCTCATCAATTGCTGTCAATTGAACTAGAAATTTCAAAAATTCAATTATATATTAATCATAAGATATTTTTTTAACCAAATCCCATCTAATTTATTCACAGTTCTCAGTTGATTAATTCTTTTTATTAAAGTCTATTTCACTAATATTTTAAATCATAGAAGCGATAAATTTCAACTCAGTTTAATTTTTAAAGAACTCTAAACATTTAGTAATTTTCTAATTTCTCAGAATTTAAAGCAACTAATTAAGATAGGTTCCATCAAAATACTTAGTCTAAGTCAACACTTAATAGAAATCCTCCTTTTTGTAATATACTTACTTTATTTCTTTTAATTATTTAATTTTTTCTAAAGAATTATCAGTCTTTTTAATTAATTATTTAATCTCCTTCATTTCTTTATTTAATTTTTCCCAAAACCCCTTAGTTTCCATTTCCCAATATTGCTTTGTCATTTCCAACCTCTTCAATTAAGAATTTTTCTGAATATTCCAATCATCTAATTGTTTTCCTATAATAATTTAAACTAACTTTTCTAAGTCAGTATTGGCCAATTCTACAGGATTCACATTGTTGTTAATGTAATTGATATAAGATTTATCTTACATCTCAATCAAATCATATGTCCATTTTATTGATTCTGCCAATTCATCCCAAATTTATTTTAACATTTTTAGAGTTGAAGAAAGCATTTATTTAAAATTTAATCTCTTTTTGGATATTTCTTATGAAGGATCAACTTTAGATTCTTCAAATTTCTTTCTCATCATTTCTTAAAATTTTTTTATTGAAACTATTTATTTAAAATCCACTCCATGTTCCTCAGTACATTCAGCACACAATTTCATTTGACACTTGTGATGAGCCAGACATATCATTTATACTTGATTTTGAATATGATAAGTGCAATTCATTATCTTTAGAAAAAAATTTTGAATTTCTATTACTTCCTTTAGATTATACTATAAACCAAAATGTATCTTATAAAGGAAATGCAAAATTAATTCAAGAATAAAGAACATTTATGTTCAAAATTATTCATTAACAAATATATTGAAATAACTTCTATCATATCTCACATCGTTTCGCTCGCTACTTAACTCATAATAAAGTATTAGAAATTCAATAAAATAAAAAAAGATAATTAATTGCAAAAGAGAGAAGATTGGAGAATTGTATGGAATTTTGGCTTTATCTATAGATGTTGATGAAATAGCCTTCCCAATTCTAACTAATATATTGAAAAGAGGGAAATTTAATGCAGCTTGGAATTTTTCTCAATTATCCATGGCAAGTCGAATAAGGGAGAAAATTAATCGCTATTTTGTTAATGAATAACAGATGCTTTCAAAAACTTTTGGAAAATGAATTACTCAATTGACGAATACGAAGAAATTACGAAAAATCTAATCAATA